GTCCCGGACTTGGTGGCTTAAACTCATGCTGGGCGCGTGTGTGTGCATACCCAAGATCCCCAGAGGAGAATGGAGGAGAAGGGATTGTGGCGTGGCCGTTGCCCCCTGGGGGGTGATTTCTCGCTTTCTGTCTCTCTGTCTCTCTTTCTGGCAAGTGCACATGCCCTATAGCAAAAACCTCTCCAAAAAAAAATGCTACAGTACATGTGCACTCATAAGAGAGACAGAGACACAGAGGGAGAGAGAGAGAGAGAGAGAAAGAAAAGTGAGAAAGCAAGCCACTGGGTCTAGGACTCAAACCATTGTCAGCCATGTGGGAGTCCAGCATGTTAACTGCTACACCACGTGCTGCCCCCACCATGTGATTTTTTTAATGTTAAATACCTGTATTCTCTTTAATAAGGACCATTATAAGAGACTTTTTCTCTTCAGGTGCTAAGTAGAAAGTAGAGGTAAACTGCTTTTCTCCTGATGACCCATTTCAAAACCAATCATTTCTCCTATCTTGACTGACTTTTAATACCCCCAAAATTGATCTTTGATTTCTTCATAGTTACGGTAGTTTCTGGTTCTCTGAATTTATCATTTATGTAAATATTTGATCAAGTATTTAAAATAGATATAGGTCTTCAGTTCATATTAGTTCCTTTCACACTTCACTTCTGCTTTCCTAAGAAAATAAGTTACGAAATAACCAAGAAATATTTTAAAGTTTTATTAACATGCTACCAATAATGCTTGAAATTTTTACCTCTCTACAAGTCAAACTAAAGCAGAAACTTTGTTTTTCAGGTCCGTATTTATGTAGATGCTGTAATTAATCATATGTGTGGTAATGGTGTGAGTGCAGGAACAAGCAGTACTTGCGGAAGTTACTTCAATCCTGGCAATAGAGATTTTCCGGCAGTCCCTTACTCTGGTTGGGATTTTAATGATGGTAAATGTAAAACTTCAAGTGGAGACATTGAGAATTATAATGATGCTGTTCAGGTAATTCATTTTTTAAAATAGTGATCTGAATAAAGAGCTATCTATTTGTACAAATGTAAATTATTAAACTTTAATTAAATACCAATTTATCTTCCTTAGAAAACAAGTTGCCAGGTCAGATGCCCTCTCCCTTTTTTGTGACAGGAGATTTTTACTACAGGGCACATGCGCTTGCCGGAGAGACAGAGAGACAGGAAGCAAGAAATCAAACCCCCTTCCTCCCCCCCAAGGGAGAGGGCCATGCTGCAATCCCGTCTCCAGTCTTCTCTCTAGAGTTTGGGTATATGCACACCCATGCACCTGGCATAAGTTTTAAGCCACTGGTTCTGGGACTTGAACTGCAGTTGACTATGTGGGAGTCCAGTGACATAACCATTATGCTATCTGCTGGTCCACAGAATTCCTTAAAGTAAGGAACTCAGATCCATTTTCAAAAAATATTTTCCCTAATCAATGAAGGCACTTATTTACCTTATATTGTACATTCTCCATTTTTATACTCAAAAATCTTTCAAAAATATGTCCATAGAAGAAAATCAATATTCCCAGTACCCAATTTAGTAAATGAATTATGGAAATATCTATTAATGAACAATGGATGATTAAATAATCAGATGGATTCTCACGTGAAAGACGATGTTTTAAGAATCAATTACAAAATTTTTAACTCCACAGGTCAGAGATTGTCGTCTGGTTGGTCTTCTTGATCTTGCACTGGAAAAAGATTATGTGCGTTCCAAGGTTGCTGAATACATGAACTATCTCATTGACATTGGTGTAGCAGGGTTCAGAATCGATGCTTCCAAGCACATGTGGCCTGGGGACATGAAGGCAGTTTTGGATAAACTGCATAATCTGAATAGAAGTTGGTTCCCTGAAGGAAGTAAACCTTTCATTTACCAAGAGGTACATCAATATATATATGTGCATATAAAATGATATCATTTTATTCACTAGAAATTAAATGGCAGATTTAATTAATTATTCCTTTTCTGTAGTTTAGCAGCTAAATCACTTATGCAGAGTAGTGGTCTTTAACATCCTTTTATTGAGAGCATATGTAATTCTTTATCACAGTGGGTTCTGTGAAAGTAGAGAGTTTATTTAGGCTGCAAGCTTCACTGCCATTTCCCATTTCTGCAGAGATAATAGAGAATCTTATAGTTGTTTCAAACCAGGTTTTCTGAGTTTGAATCTTGGCTATGCCACTATTAACTGTATAGTTTTTTCAAGCAAATTGATGAACTTTTCTCTGCAACAAATTTTCATGTGAAGAAAAATGATAATAGTTATATCACTGTTTTCTTTGGATAATTAATATTTATTACACACTGATAAATACTGTCAGTCAGATGTATATGCTGTACTATGAGTGATTATTTTATCATTTATGTAAGAGACTGAATTGGGTCTGCATTTCACCAGACAACAGGTCAAGTTGTCATTATGTTTCTTTCATATTGTAGCATATACTTTATAAAAAATATGATATAAGAAAGACCATTTTGAGTATATTAAATAACATAAATAATTTAAAATTGTTTTCTATATAATATTATTTTACTAATTATAATACACTAAACTCATACAAAATGATATTTTCTCCTATATCTCTACTAGGTAATTGATTTGGGTGGTGAGCCAATCAAAAGCAGTGAGTACTTCGGAAATGGCCGTGTGACAGAATTCAAGTATGGTGCAAAACTAGGCACAGTCATTCGCAAGTGGGATGGAGAGAAGATGTGTTACTTAAAGTAAGTAAAATGCGATTTATTTCTTGAATTATTTGACAGATCTATTCATCATGTTATCCCAAGATAATTTATCTTCTTAGAATCTTTTCAGTTAGACAATCATCAGAGTCAATTACTGGTAATAAGTGTTACAGTTTCCTAAATTGATCATCTTTATTCATTAAAATGTCCATTACTAGGAATTATGTAAGGAAACCCAAATATTACCTATAGATTTTAATCTATGTATGATAGGAGTATACTAAATTAGACTAATATTTGCATATAATCTGTCATAAATAGGTTATTACTGAAATAATCCTGACATTTATAAGTACCTACAATGTGGCCATACTGTGGAATTTACATGTATCAGATTGATTCATTAAACTATTAATATATTTATAGGACAACAGTACAGAATTGAAGCTTTATTTTAACCTACTGTAGGTTGCCATTTTGTATAATGTGATCTGGATGTTGAACCTTCTGGAGTTCATCTAAATTACAATTTACTCAAATCTCTAAAAGGATTTTTAATAACAAAAACCTGTACCTATAACATGATTGGAATATAAGAAATGCATACATTGATACAAATTTGGAATGTATGTGTAAAATTACACATATGAAACAAAATTCTGCAGAATAACCTTGTAATGATAGAATTAATCCGAGGATTCTATATAGAGCTATACACTTAGGCTATTATAAAACTATTATAGGAGTACATATACATACATGTATGTATTTGTGTGTGTGTGCATTTTTTGAAATAGGAACTGGGGAGAAGGTTGGGGTTTCATGCCTTCTGACAGAGCACTTGTCTTTGTGGATAACCATGACAATCAACGAGGACATGGAGCTGGAGGAGCATCTATTCTTACATTCTGGGACTCTAGGTAGGAAACAACATTCTCCACTGGTTTTTAACCTACCTTTTAATAATGATAAAGATATTCTTTTTAAAAATATAACTTTGCAACTTTCAGACTATATAAGATGGCTGTTGGATTTATGCTTGCTCATCCTTACGGAGTTACACGAGTGATGTCAAGCTATCGTTGGCCAAGATATTTTGAGAATGGAAGAGTAAGTTTTGGAATTGTTCATTGTATCTTTTCCTCAGGAAAATAAGGCAATTTTGCTTTAATAACACATTCTGTATTTTATCATCAAATATTTATTAAGTGTAAACCTGATGTGGGATTCTGGTTTTAGTAATGCAGAAGATATTTTAAAGTAAATCCACTTATGTTCTCTATTGTTGAAGTTTGCAGACTGTCATGCCCCTCCCTCCGGATGTCAAGACAAAACACTTAAAAATGACAGCAAAACACAAGGAGTAAGATATGTACTTACAAGTACCACATAGGGTTGATTTGAGGACTGTAAAGAATGTAAAAGAGTACCTACCTGCCTATAGTATAAGCAATATAAGCATTTGTTAAATGCTTTTTTAAAAGAAAGCTCTGTGAATTTCAAAGAAATAATTCAGTGTACCAAAGATAAATAGAAAAATTATTTTATAAGAGGAAGGAAATTATGTTTTAAAGAACAGAAATTTGCAGACTAATCTTGAAAGTATGAGAATAAGTAAAATATCTGGGAGTACAGTGAAGATATTAATCCAATTAACAGTTTTTCAAAGGAACTGAGAAATATAATTATAAAAATATTTGAAAACCAGTGGAAGGTTTTCTTTTTAAACTGAAGATTTCAGAAAAAGCATGAAATCAAATCTTTATGCCTAACACAGAAATTTATCTTTCCTAAAAGACACATATCTATTTTTGATTCTTTTCAATTTGAGAAGCCTACTACCTTATCCATCAACTCATTCTATTGTTAAGTAAGTTCAATTTTTAAAAGGTTTTTCCATTATAACGAACCAACTTCTTAAGAGTACCCACTAATTGGTTTTATTTCTGATGTCAGAAGTCCATTTTCTTTTTTTCTATAACATTTTCACTTTTCCAAGACTTCTATCTGCTCAAAGCTAATTTTCCCACTATTCATCATGTGGCATAATTTAAAAACATATGCATGAAACATGTATAATTAGACTCTGTTTTTTTTTGCCTATGAATATCTTTAAAAGTATCAATCACAAAAGCACAACTAAAATTTTGGTCAGTTTAGTAAAGAAAGTTAAGACGTGTTGATTAGTAGTATAGATATCCAAAAGGAAGTATCAAAGAAGCTTTTATTTGGCAACTATCATATGCAAGGAATTTTCGAATACATTAATTATTATAGTAATCAAGCTACTAATATAACTAAACTTTATAGCTGAGGAAACTGAGGTACAGGGAAACTACTTATATTGACTAAGCGTTTTTTAGCCAGAATAATACTGGTGTTTCGGACACTAATGTCCTTGTCATTTAAAAGACACTGCAGTGCTTACAGTGATAAAAAGACTATAGTTCCTTAGAAATAAAATGAGAAGATAAAAATGTATTAATCCTGTCTAAAGTATCATTAAAGAATCAGAGATTAGAAAATGGTAAGAACTCAATAAAGGACTGTAAAAATACTAAAGAAGTTGGATTCTAAATAAAGATACTGCACAGACACAAGTTACAGAGTAGATTGGGTTTAGCATAATGAAGAAGAAAGAGGCAAATACATGCATGTTAAAAATATGATGGTTAATTTTTTCCTAAAGGATGTTAATGACTGGATTGGGCCACCAAATAATAATGGGGTAATTAAAGAAGTTACTATTAATCCAGACACTACTTGTGGCAATGACTGGGTCTGTGAACATCGATGGCGTCAAATAAGGTAGGAATGCTTATTTAGAGATAATACTAAGTCTAATAATAAGCTTTCTTTAACTTTTTATTTTAACTGTTGAAGTATGAAGATATCAGCATTTTATATGATATTGTGTCTTTAGGAACATGGTAATTTTCCGTAACGTAGTTGATGGCCAGCCTTTTACCAACTGGTGGGATAATGGTAGCAACCAAGTGGCCTTTGGAAGAGGAAACAGAGGGTTTATTGTCTTTAACAATGATGACTGGTAAGTAGATAGCAATTAAAAGTAGTATTTTCTTCTAGTATTCTTGGTTTATTCATTTTATTTTCCTGCTCATTTACTTTTTCATATCTGAAAAATTCATTCCATTGAATAGAAAACATAGAGATCAGAAAAGGGTAGGAAAAAAAATGATGACTTTTATTTTTCTCATTCTCCTATTGTTAGAAGGGTCTTCTGTTACAAGCGAAGCTTTTTTGTGCCACCCTTGCAACATAACATGAATATATGTAATACATATATGTGTTCATACACAACCTCCACAAAATATACACAGTAGTTAACACAAGGCTTGTGTAACCACTAGAACATGTTTTATAATTCCTTTTTTTTTTAAATCATGGTAAAATGCTACCTCGATACTGAAATATCTTTTTTCCTAGCTATTTTTCCCAATTATTCTTGTGTGTGGTTCTTGATAAACTCTTTACTTCTCTGTCACTCTGTGAAAAATACAACTTTTTTTTTTAAAGGGTATGTATAAGGAATAAGTATGTTATGGCCAAAGATTTGTCTCTTGAGATTTTTCAGCTTTATTTCTGAAACTTCTCATTGTTGGCCTTTTATTGGTGACACTTAGATCTGCTGCCTCTGGTATAATGATTTCTTCATATATAACATTGGAAGACCACTTTGCAAGCAATGAAATGCCTTAGTCTGAGGTCAGTTTCTACTTATGCTTAGCTTATTCTGGCCTAAGTTAAGTTTTACTGGACTGAAATGAATAAACTTATATATAAGTCAGGTATATCTCTTTGTTGCCAGAAGAGCCCCCATAGCAAGTTCTTTCATTTCTGTCTTTTGTACATGGGATAATCCAAATAAATTTATATGAGACAACTTCGTATTTCAAATTATGTATTTCGTCACATACACTTTAGATTATTTTTACCTCTGGACCAAATTCTTTTCAGCCTCTTAAAAAACAAAAATATATATTTGAAAATAAAATCCCATTTAAATTCTAAAAGTAATTAGTATTTTCTTTGGTTCAGATGAGGAGAAACTTAAAATATTTGTTTGCCACAAGTAATTCTTTTATTTAAGAGTAGAAATTCCTGGGGCCAGTAGGTGATATGGTAGCTTAGGTATCAGACTCCCACATGGCAGACCATGGTTCTAGTCCCAGAGTTGGTGGCTTGCTTTCTCACTTTCCTTTTCTTCTCTCTCTCTCTGTTGAGCCCTATAGCAAACTTAAAAAAATAATAATATGAATAAATTAAAAACGTTATTAAAGAGTAGAAATTCCCTCACATCTTCCATGATAGTTTTCAAGTTTATATTTTGGTAATACTCACTACTGAAAAGGGAATTACTAGGTCTTCTCAAAGATATCTTTTGGTCCTAAGAAAATTTTTTACATACACTGGAAAAGTCTTTGTGTTCGTGTTTTTTTTTTTACTGAGACTTTGACTACTTAGAGTTCTCCAGCAAAAAGTTAAACTACATTAGAGATAGTCTGTAGTCTTGCTTTTAACTATGTTGGATTTTAATTAAATTTAAAATTTTACTTTACAGGCAATTATCGTTAACTTTACAAACTGGTCTTCCTGCTGGCACATATTGTGATGTCATTTCTGGAGATAAAATTGGAAGCGATTGCACAGGAATTAAAATTTATGTTTCCAATGATGGCAATGCTCATTTTTCTATTAGTAACTCTGCTGAAGACCCATTTATTGCAATTCATGTTGAATCTAAATTGTGAAATTCAAATTAAATACATATACCAAGAACATTAACCAAGTGTGTTTTGTTTCTTGTAAATATATTACTTCTTTTTAAAAAAGTGTATTGATTTATTTACTTCATAAATATGGGTGTGTATGTATGACAAGAGAGAAAGTTTGAGGGAGAGATAGAGAAAGGCACCTCCAACAGGGTCTTTGGACCATGATATACCTCTGGTCCTAGCTAACCCGGATCACGGGTTCTCATGTATATTCCCAGTGTGCCCAAGAGGGTCAAATGAGAACAAAGGACCTTTATCGTGTGGGTACAGTTGTATCACCACTATGCTACTACCAAGCCCGTATACTAATTCTATACTAATTCTCAAATAAGTAATCAACTTGAAAAAGTCAGAAACCTATTTTAAAATCATATATATATTTATATATGATTATATATATATATATATATATATAATCATAATTACAATAAATATATATTTTGGAAAACCACTTTAACCTATAGGTCAAAGGAATTTTTAAGAACTCAGAAAGGCACCCTGACAAGCATGTATATTGCCATTAAAACAATTTACCCAGCCGTGTGTTTTTAATTTATGTCTATAATTCTTCCATAGAGTGTTTCTATCAACTAGTTAGGGATAGCTGGCTTAATGATGACTCACATACAAAGTTAGTTTATTTGTATAATTTTCACGATTTGAAAACATTTGTGTAGTTCATGGAGCTAAAAAATAGGAAGACCTAAATTATATAATCTACTATTCTTAGCTATATTGAACTCACAGAAATTGTCACTTACTTTGTGTATATTCTTTGCTCTTTTTAATTCACTTTTTAATGGCTTTACCTTGCTATTGGATAGCTTTTTATTCTTTCTCTCAACCTCCAATGTGGATATTTATTGAAACATAACATTTGACCAGGATGTTCTTCTTAATCTTCTAGCTATTAATTTTCCTTTGTCTTGACTTTAAATATGGAATTTGTTAGGGCTCTCACTTAGGTTTAATAATTATCAGTTCTTTTAAATGAGAAAATGAAAGCCATAACTTACAAATTCTCTTTTTTAATCTGCAAATTTATCAATCTCTGCTGAATCTTCTTCTGAAGATTCACTGTTTATTGATTACCACTTTATTTCACTGTATCCTGGGCTGCAATTTCTAATTACTCTAGTCTGGTGAGACAGAACACACACACACACACACACACACACACACAGACAAGTTGCATGGAGCGGACTTATTATTTACAGATTAGGATAAGGGGCAACAGAAACCTGGGATTAATGATGAGCCTCTCAAGGCTCAGGAAATCTACTGAGGGCTTATGGAGTCTCATAAGCATATGTCACCTTAAAATTCGAGGTGGAGGACCCTGAAAAACAGCCTACCCTGGGTTTTATAACTGAGGATCACAGGATTTGCTGGGCTAAAACATTGGATGTCCAGTTCTGGAAGGGACAAGAACAGAACTTAGGCTATTCCTGCCAGTTCCTCCTTTTCTCAGGATGTTGACTTCCAGTACAGTCTACAGTAACTCTTGAGAACTAAATAAGCAAGACGGGGAAGAACTGGGTCAGCACCATGCACCTGGAGAACTGTCCTGCATTTGCCCCTTGCATTGTCTTCTTTTCTTCTGTCTTAATGAAGATGAACCTCAATCTACCAAAGGTTAATAATATCATCCCATTTTTAACCATTGTGAGAACTTTACTTCTTAGATTATCCTCTATATTTTTATTTTACAGTCTTTCCCTTGCTGTATACATTCCCTCACATTACATGTATTATAACCTTCCAACTAATAAAATATGTAATCCTCTAGTTTTTCTTCTAGATATAGCTCATTTCTTTGCTCTTTTCCTCGTTAAATATCTACATTCTTATCACAGTCTCCACATCCTAAACTTCAGTCACCATCCAGTTTCCATCATCATAGCTTCATTGAATCTGCTCTTATCAATCATCAGTGACATTTAGTTACCAATCCAATGTATTTCCCTATCCTATCCTTCCACCTCACAGCAGTATGAGGTGGGCTACTCTGTTCTCTTCCATTGCCTGCTGCAATTCTCTTCTTTCATATTTTCCTTCTATTTTACTGATTATTCTTGTTCAAATTCTTTTATTGGATCATCTTCTGTTTCATCTAAAGACTCATATGTTTCTAATTTTCTTCTTTCTGTGTACTTTCTTCTCCAGGTAATTGTAATCATTTCCATGAATATAAAACAAATCCTTTTTCATGGAGACCTGTATATCCAATGTGAAACCAATGAACTTGAACCATGATCAGCCAAGTGGGAGTCCAGCAATTTAACCACTATACCACCTGCGGTCCCTCTACTTTATTGTTTCACAGACATCTCATACTGAACATATCCAAAATGGAATCCTGATTTTTATTGCATAAACTTTACTACTCTCTCTCTTCTATTTACTTAGAAATTTAGGGTACTTTTATGAGACACCCTACACACACACACACACACACACACACACACATACACACACTTCTCTCAACATCTCTTACTATCCCTTTACATAAGCCTTAGCATGACCTATTTGTTGTATTTTCAAAATATCTCTGCATTCCTTGCTCTTATCTTGTATCTTCTGCCATCCTTTCCTCCAGGTCACCATCAAAATAACTAGCCTGCATTCCAAAGAATCACACAACTAGTCTATTTCCACTGTTTTACTCCCTCAACTTATTTTGCTAAAGACCACAAAATTATATTCATATTTAAATAAAATGATAAACTTTCATGTTTAAAATTCTTAAATTTTTTTTTCATTTATTAGATTGTTGGGAAAGTCATGACATTTTTGTCTGTTTTTGTGTGAAAAATGCATCATGACTATCCTTATGACACAATAGGATAACATTCTAACTACTCATGGTAGCCTACAAAGCCATGCATTATCAGGCATGAACTTAGCTCTCCAATCTTAACTGCTCATTTCTCTTGGCAAGCTACTCTTATTTTTTTTTCATATTGTTGAATGTGTCATGTTATTTTTCATCTTAGAGATTTTTGTTTGTTTCTACACGTTTTAAAATGCTTTTGATCAAGTTCTTAGCATAACTGGCTTCTGATGCCCTGACTCAATGACAGAATCACCATTTATTCAATTATGCAAGCCAGAAATCTAAGTTTCATCTTTGAAACCCCCTTCTCATATCTCCCCACATCAATTAAGCACTAAGTCCTTTAGATTATACCTTATAGATTTTTTACTATGTTCTTTTTCTTTCAACTGCCACTATCTACTCTTCCTTTTTTTAAATGGCCAGAATCTTCTATTTTACCTCTACCAATCTGGAAAAAAAGACTGCAATACTCCCAGTTTAAATCCAGACTTCATTGTTTATAACAAATGAATTGCAGGGTGTAAGCAGTGACAGTAATCACAATCCTGGAGCTGGCATTACCTCATACCAGTTTTTCAAGATGAAAGAATTAGTTTTTCTTTTATATGAGAATGTAATTGAGAACCTAGTTAAGAATATCCCAGTGGTTAGCAGTGGAGTAGAATAGGGAGCCTATGATACTCAGGTAGTGATGAAGCTGTATCTTCATCCCTACAGAGGAGAAGAAAATGAACCTTGTAAGCATAGCTAGCAAACAAAGGAATAGTTGAGATGGGTTCTATAATGGGGTAGCAATATTTATATAAGAAACTATACTTGTACAGAGGTTAAAGACTTGCCCAGGAGAGTATTATATCAAGGAGAGTATAACCTTAAGAATATCTATCAGTTGATATTTAATTTGTAGAAGAACACTTTACATGAAGTTTTATCACTTATGGAAGGGTTCAATGTTGTGTTTGTATCCACTTTAGCCCTTCCTTCAACCTTTTCTTTCTTTTACTTGTAACTAGAAAGCTACCACAATCACCACCAATATCACATACCATGTTTCCAAAGTGTCACCAGTGGATTATTATTATTAGGATAAAAGTCCACAGCTATTAACTGGAGTATTGAGCTTGCATCAGAAGCCCCATTTTATAAAACTCTCCTTTTTAACTTCTATTCCTTAATTATGCTAAATTTTAAATACTAAAACTCTACAAACTTATTTTAATTCTTCAAATTCCAAACAAGAAACACTCACTCTTTCTACTTGACATATTCTTTTTTTACCCCTTCCCCTATTTAACTCCTAGTCACCATTTAAAGCTTAGTCATAATGCTAACCATATATCGATATTTACCCAGAATTAGGTCATATTCTTGATGAATGTAGTGATTCTCTCTATTTTCTCTTTTATTCATTATCACAGTACTATGAGAAATGTCTGTTTTGCTCTTTATTGAACCCTTAATGTTAGGGTACTATTCACAACATATTACAAAAGAATTCAATCATTATTTGTAAAAGAAATTGAGATAATGGGAAAAAATTAAGAGAAGAGATATTAATTTTTAAGAAGGAGAATGAATCATGTTTAATGAAGATAGGGTCTTGGAATACAGATGTTCTTCTCATCTTTTCTCCAATTCATTCTAAATTTAATTAATTCCTGCTTAACTGATTTCTTAGGTCATAGAAATGATGGAAAAGTCAGGTACTTTGGCAGTATCTCATTGTGTTTTCAGGATTTTTGAGCCATAATGAAGTAGGAGAAAGGTACACACACATACATATAGTTAGGGTATAGATCTGTGAGATGGAGTCAACTTAGAAGATTGAGTCACTGTACTCAAACTTGTATTAAAAATCATTCACTGCATTCCCTCAAAATCAGTCACTATAAGCTGCTTACAAACAGAGGTTCTTAGAGCCTGCTCAGATAATTACAGCTGAAACTAATATTTTCCATATCACTGCTACACACCAAACAAAGGAGGTAGTGTCTCTTGATCTGAAGACACTGAGCAAAAGACAATGAGCAATAAGTTTCCATGAGATATCATTTGAAATCAGGTAGTGATGAAGCTGTATCTTCATCCCTACAGAGGAGAAGAAAATGAACCTTGTAAGCATAGCTAGCAAACAAAGGAATAGTTGAGATGGGTTCTATAATGGGGTAGCA